GCGGCTCTAAAGGCGCAGGAGGGGCTCCCACTGGAGCGGGGGCCGCGCGCTACCGCCCCAGCCAAGGGGGTCCCACCCATCCCGGGGGACCACCCCCCACCCCCCCACGAACCGCTGGGGGGGGGAAAGCTGGCTGCCAGTCCCCCGGCTTACCAGCTCGTCGGGTCGCCCCCGGGGGTCCTCCGGGCGCCCCCAACCTTGCGCCCCGTCCAGCCCGTCCGGCTTCATGGCGCAGCGCCGGCCGCGGCGGGGCAGGGCGGGGACTTTTAAGCGGAGGAGCGAAGGCGCCCCCGCCCCGTCGCAGCTGCGGGTGGGACACACCCCCTGTGGCTCAGATGGACCCCCCCCCCTTTTCCTCCCTCCCTTCCTCCCCGCCGCCGCCCTTCCCAAGCAGGAGGAGAAGAAGGGGGTCTCTGCGCGCGTCCAGAAGGCTGGGGTCTGCCTGGGCTGGGGACTGCACGGCCTGCGAGCACGTCTGGGTACCAGCCCCGTCTGCCAGCCCGGGTTTTTCTTGGAAACTCCACATTCCTTTGGGAAGGGGAAGTAACACAAGAACAGAGTTGGGAGGGGCCTTGGAGGTCTTCTAGGCGAACCTGNGAGAAGAAGGGGGTCTCTGCGCGCGTCCAGAAGGCTGGGGTCTGCCTGGGCTGGGGACTGCACGGCCTGCGAGCACGTCTGGGTACCAGCCCCGTCTGCCAGCCCGGGTTTTTCTTGGAAACTCCACATTCCTTTGGGAAGGGGAAGTAACACAAGAACAGAGTTGGGAGGGGCCTTGGAGGTCTTCTAGGCGAACCTGCTGCTGGAGCAGAGGACCCTAGACCAGGGGTCTTCAAGCTTGGACCTTTGATGACTTGTGGACTTCAACTCCCAGAATTCCTCAGCCAGGCACGCGTGCCTGGCTGAGGAATTCTGGGAGTTTGAAGTCCACAAGTCATCAAAGGGCCACATTGGAAGACCCCTGCCCTAGACCATTTCGGACAAATGGCTGTCCAGTCTCTTCTTGAAAACCTCCAGTGATGGAGCACCCACAAATTCTGGAGGGGAGCTGTTCCACGGGTTAATTGTTCCAACTGCCTGGAAGTTTCTCCTTAGTTCTACGTTGCTTCTCTCTTTGATGAGTTTCCATCCCGTTGCTTCTTGTCCTGCCTTCGGGTGACTTTGGAGAATAGCTTGACTCCCTCTTCTTTGGGGCAGCCCCTGAGATATTGGAACACTGCTATCCTGTCTCCCCTCGTCCTTCTCTTCATTAAACTAGACATACCCAATTCCAGCAGCCGTTCCTTATATGTTTTAGCCTCCAGTCCCCTGACCATCTTGTTTCTAGAAGAGTGAAGCTGATCAAAGAGAGAAGCAACCTGGAATTAAGGAGAAATTTCCTGACAGTGAGGAGAATCAACCAGTGGAACAGCTTGCCACCAGAAATTGTGGGTGCTCCATTCTATTCTATTCTATTCTATTCTATTCTATTCTATTCTATTCTATTCTATTCTAGAATAGAATAGAATAGAATAGAATAGAATAGAATAGAAAATAGAATAGAATTCAGAATAGAATAGAAAATAGAATAGAAAATGGAATAGAATAGAACAGAATATAGAATAGAATAGAATAGAACAGAATATAGAATATATTATTTATTTTATTTATTTATTTTTTAGGATTTATATGCCGCCCTTCTCCCCAGTAGAATAGAATAGAATAAAATTGAATAGAATGGAATGGAAGGGAAGGGAAGAGTAGAGTAGAGTAGAGTAGAGTAGAGTAGAATAACAGAGTTGGAAGGGACCTTGGAGGTCTTCTAGTCCAACCCCGTTCAGGCAAGAAACCCTATACCATTTCAGACAAATGGTTGAAGAACAGGACTGCTCGAAAAAAATGGACTCGAGGCGGGCGTGAAGGCCAAGGAGACCTTCTCCTTATCTCCAACCTGAGGAACAGCAGCCAGTTGGGAAGGAGCAGCCCAAGGTCCTTTCCAACTGTGTCATTCCGTATTTGGGATCCAGATAGCTCCCTGGGGCCATTCGGAGGACCACGAGACCAAGGTGGGGCTGTGAGAAAGGATTTAATGAGAGCAGCAGATGCTCAGCAAGGCAGAAGCCCAGCCCTCTACTTACCAGGACTTTCCATCCCAATCCCTATGTGGAATTACTCAGAAAATGTGCATTTTAAAAAAAAAAAAGGGGGGGGGGGGGGGGGAAGGATCCTCTCCATTTGCTTTTATTTCGAGTTCACTCAGAATGAGGTAGTTCTTGAATTAAGCCCTCTCCTGGGTGCAAGTGTGCTAGGCCAATGAAGAGAAGGACCAGGGGGGACATGATAGCAGGGTTCCAGTATCTCAGGGGCTGCCCCAAAGAAGAGGGAGTCAAGCTATTCTCCAAAGCGCCTGAAGGCAGGACAAGAAGCAACGGATGGAAACTCATCAAGGAGAGAAGCAACCTAGAACTAAGGAGAAACTTCCTGGCAGTTGGAACAATTAACCAGTGGAACAACCTGCTTCCAGAAGCAGTGAATGCTCCAACACTGGAAGTTTTTAAGAAGAGACTGGACAGCCATTTGTCTGAAATGGTATAGGGTTTCCTGCCTGAGCAGAGGATTGGACTAGATGACCTCCAAGGTCCCTTCCAACTGTATTATTCTGTTGAAGCTGCAAGTAAACCTCGATTTATGACCAAAATGGTCAAGGACACCTGTATTCATAACCTGTCTTTATTATTTTTATTTTATAAACTCACACAGTGGATGTGGTCTTCAACGTACGACCGCAATTGAGCCCCCATTTCCCGTTGCTAAGCAAGACAGTTGGAGATCTTCTCGTCCAACCTGCTGCTGGAGCAGAAGACCCTGGACCAGGGGTCTTCAAACCTGGCCCTTTTATGACTTGTGGACTTCCAACTCCCAGAATTCCTCAGCCAGGCACGCTGGCTGAGGAATTATGGGAGTTGAAGTCCACTCCTCTTAAAGTCTATATCAGGGGTCTTCAAAGTTGGCCCTTTTATGACTTGTGGACTTCAACTCCCAGAATTCCTCAGCCTGGGAGTTGAAGTCCACAAGTCTTAAAGTTGCCAAGTTTGAAGATCCCTGGTGCATAATGAAAGTTCTGTATCTGTGCGTGTCTGTCAATGATAACCAAACGGGGATTTATTTCCAAATTGCCCTCGTATTCAATGCAGTTATGTATATGTGGCCTTTATTTTTTATTTTTTTTAACAAACTCCCACAATACAGATAGCCCTCAACTTACGACCACAATGGAGCCTCCAATTTCTATTGCTAAACACGAAGGTTGTTAAGTGAAGCGTGCTCCATTTTTACGACCTTTCTTGCCACGGTTTTGTTCCCTTAGAATGGTCGCTAAACAAATGGTTGTGAGTTCAAGGATCACCTGGAATGCACAGTCCAGAACTGCCCAAAGATATGCAAAGTAAACCCTTCTTTGCAAGTTGCTCAGTTTTTCCTTTTTTTTGTCTGCGTTTCTCTTTCTGCACCGTTTCAGGCCCAAAGGTTCAGGTCTCCGTCTTCAAGGGGACTTGTGTGTATGTCGTGATTTGAACCGCAGTCCTCGGTAAATGAGTTGCATTGGTGTAAATGGAGAGTTATGGTTTGCTTTTAAATGGAAGGTCAGACCTGTGATGGTATCCCAGACTTAACAAGGGAAAAGACACTCTCAGCTTAAATGCCCTCTGTCTCCACCTAGTGGTGAATTCAGAGGCTGCAATGGAAAAAAACTGGATCCATTCTTTCTTTCTTTCTTTCTTCCTTTCTTTCTTTCTCTATCTCTTTGTGCCTTTCTCTTTCTGTCTTTCTTTTTCTTTCTTTCTCTCTCTCACTCTGCGCCTTTCTCTTTCTCTCTCTCTTTTGTCTCTATTTCTCTTTCTCTCTGTGCCTTTCTCTTTCTCTTTCTTTCTATGCCTTTCTGTCTTCTTTCTCTGTCTTTCTCTCTTATCTTTCTGTCTTTCTCTGTGCCTTTCTCTTTTTCTTTCTCTATCTCTTTGTGCCTTTCTCTTTCTCTCTCTTTCTCTTTCTTTCTCTCTGCCTTTCTGTTTCTGTTTGTTTTTCTCTTTCTCTGTGCCTTTCTCTTTTTCTTTCTGTCTCTCTGTGCCTTTCTTTTTTTCTTTCTTTCCTTATCTTTCTCTGTGTGTGCCTTTCTCTTTCTCTGTCTTTCTCCTTATCTCTACTTCTCTGTCGTTCTTTCTTTCTGTCTTTTTCCGTCTTTCTCTCTCTCTCTCTGTCTCTCTCTCATACACAAATGTGTTACAAACGTAACAGCAATGATTCATTTAACAACTCTGGCAAGAGACGTTGTAAAACGGGGCAAAACTCATTTAACTGTCTTGCTTAGCAACGGAAATAACAATAAGAGTTGGAAGGGACCTTGGAGGTCATCTAGTCCAACCCCCTGCTCAGGCAGGAAACCCTATACCATTTCAGACAAATGGCTGTCCAGTCTCTTCTTAAAAACTTCCAGTGATGGAGCACCCACCCCTTCTGGTGGCAGGTTGTTCCACTGGTTAATTGTCCTCACTGTCAGGAAGTTTCTCCTTAGTTCCAGGTTGCTTCTCTCCTTGACGAGTTTCCATCCGTTGCTTCTTGTCCTGCCTTCAGGGGCTTTGGAGAATAGCTTGACTCCCTCTTCTTTGGGGCAGCCCCTGAGATATTGGAAGGCTGCTATCAAGTCCCCCCTCGTCCTTCTCTTCATTAAACTAGACATACCCAATTCCTGCAGCCGTTCTTCCTATGTTTTAGCCTCCAGTCCCCTGATCATCTTTGTGGCTCTTCTCCGCCCTCTTTGTTGGGCCAAACTGCCATCATAACTTGAGGACTAGCTGCATGCCCTTTCGTGCAGGGCAGAATTTAGCAGGATCCTGGTTTGCAAGAAAGCAGGGATCCTGGTCACTGGTCCTACCCCTGCAGCCTTGATTGCACTCCGCATTGGGGTACCGCGGGGAGAACGGGCCCTTGATCTTTGGGGGTGTCTTGGTAATAAACCCACCACCATTCAGTCAGATAAGGGCTGCCTTTAATAGAGAAAAAACCCCGATATAGTTGGACGAGGAAATTTAAAAACAGCTGCAAGGCTTAGCAAGACTAGGCTTTGCCCAGGATGTGGCACGCAATCCGGGCCAAACACGGCCAAACCAAACCAACAATGGAGCCCGGAAAGGTTTTTTTGCAATCCAGGCATCTCCTTCCCGCTTCGCTTCCCGCAGCTACAAGGGGAAATCGCCATCCGTCGGGATGTTGAGGACCACCTCCATATCCGGGGTGCATCTGGGGGTGTGTGTGAAAGAGAGAAGCAGACAACATCAGATCCACACTAGGAAAGAAGGTGAGGCATCAAAAGTAAGCCTCCCCCCCCCTAAAAATGGCATCACAAGACCATGTGGGGGCTCAGGGGGGGGCAGCCATCGGAACTACGAATCCAGGTCATAAGTACCGGTCGTCCTCAACGTACGGCCACGATTGAGCCCAAATATTCTGTGGCTGGGACAGACTGTGGTTAAGTGAATTTTGACCCATTTTACGACTCTTCTTGCCGCAGTTAAGTTAGCCATAGGGTCATTAAGTGAATCTGGCTTTCCCTCATTGGCTTTGCTTGTCAGAATAATAATAATAATAATAATAATAATAATAATAATAATAATAATAATAATAATAATAATAATAATAATAATAATAATAATAATAATAATAATAAGAAGAAGAAGAAGAAGAAGAAGAAGAAGAAGAAGAAGAAGAAGAAGAAGAAGAAGAAGAAGAAGAAGAAGAAGAAGAAGAAGAAGAAGTAGTAGTAGTAGTAGTAGTAGTAGTAGTTGGAAGGGACCTTGGACTGTTAGAACAATTAACCAGTGGAACTACCTGCCTCCAGAAGTTGTGGATGCTCTATCACTGGATGTTTTTAATAAGAGACTGGACAGCCATTTGTCCGAAATGGTATAGGGTTTCCTGCCTGAGCAGGGGGTTGGACTAGATGACCTCAAGGTCCCTTCCAACTTTATCATCATCATCATCATCATCATCATCGTCATCATCATCATCATTATTATTATTATTATTATTTAGTGCAACCCCCTGCTCAGGCAGGAAATCCTATACCATTCCGGACAAACGGCCGTCTAGTCTCTTCTTGAAAACTTCCAGTGTTGGAGCATTCACCGCTTCTGGAGGCAGGTTGTTCCACTGGTCGCCAAAAGGGGGTCACGTGACCCAGGACAGTGCAAACCGTCGTAAATGTGAGCCACTTGCCAAGCATCTGAGTTTTCATCACATATTCGTGTAAGGATGCTGCAACAGTCGTTCAGTGTGAAAAACGGTCGTAAATCCCTTTTTTTCAGTGCCGTCATAACTTTGAATGGTCACTAAATGGACTCGGACACTTGACAACTGAGTCGTATTTATGGGATTGCAGCGTCCCGGGCTCACACGATCCCCTTTTGCGACTCTTCTGACAAGCAAAGTCAACAGGAAGGCCCGGTTCCCTTAACGACCGGGTTACTAGTTTATCAACTGCAGTGATTCGTAAAACGGGTCAAAATTCACTTAACACCTATTTCACCTAGCAACAGACATTTTGGACTCCATTGTGGTCATAAGCCGAGGACCACCTGTACACATTAGGGGCCTCTAGCATACATTGTGGGATGCTTATGGATCATATTCCTGTCTTTTAAATCCCAGGTTGCAATTGTACCCTTTCCATCGGTCGCTAAGCAACTGGTCGTAAGTCCAGGACCACCTGTATACACTTCTCGGCGGCCGTTTCTTACCCGTGTTTCTCCAAAAATAAGACTGGGTCTTATTTTTATTTTTTTTGCACCAGGTCTTATTTTTGGGGTAGGCCTTACCTCACCTCCAGCACCGACAGCCCCACCCAGCCGGTCCACTTCTTCTGGGGCCGAACTTCTGCAGCTGCATTCGGTCCTGCATTTTGCAGTCAGGCCTTTCCAGAAGGCCTAAACAACCAAGTACCGAGCTATGGATTCAATCCATCGCTTGGTGCTTGGCTGCAGAGATCTTGCAGAACCGAGCTACGGACTGAACCCATAGCTCGGTTCTTGACGGCAGAGGCCTTCCGGAAAGCCCCGTGACTGAGAAATGCAGGCCTGGCTGCAGAAGAGGCCTCGGAAGAAGAAGTGGGCCGGCAAGGAGAAGCCTGGCTGCAAAATAAGTGGGTGCGGGGCGGGTGGGGCAGCTCCACACCCCCACCCCTGCCCCAGCTTGATTTTTAGGTGTGTACTTTGCCCCAAAACTAGGGGTAGGGCTTATATTAGGCCCACCCCCAAAAATCAAGCTAAGGCTTATTGTTGGTGTAGGCCAGGGGTAGGAAACCTGGGCTCTTTTATGACTGGTGGACTTCAACTCCCAGAGTTCCTGAGGCAGTAGTGCTGAGGGGAAAGGGAGAGGTTTCCAAGCTGAGCCAAGTTGGCTGAGGAATTCTGGGAGTTGAAGTCCACCAGTCATAAAAGACCTCTGGTTTAATATTGAAATATTTTTTCCTCACGGTCACGTGATCAAAATTCAGGCATTTGGGCGGGGATAGGCAACCTTGGCTCTTTTATGACTCATGGACTGCAACTCCCAGAATTCCTGAGCCAGCCATGCTGAGGGGAAAGGGAGACGTTTCCAAGCTGAGCCATGCCAGCTCAGGAATTCTGGGAGTTGAAGTCCACGAATCATAAAAGAGTCAAGGTTGTCTACCCCAGTTGTAGGCCTTACTTTCGGGGAAACACATCAGTTGTATGTGGCTGCCTGACAAGAGACGTGAAGGCAAAAAGGGAGGCCGTACTTGGGCCGGCGCAGAAGGACATCAGGAAAAATGGTGTTGTAGGGGTCCCCAGCCGAGTGATGCAGGACGATGATGCTCTTGTGCAGCTCCTTCACTTCCTTCACCAGGTCGTCAATCACCTGAAATAATAGTAATAGTAATAGTAATAGTAGTAATAATAATAATAGTAATAATAATAGTAATAATAATAGTAGTAGTAATAATAATAATAATAATAATAATAATAATAATAAGTAGTAGTAGTAGTAGTAGTAGTAGTAGTAGTAGTAGTAGTAGTTGGAAGGGACCTTGGAGGTCATCTAGTCCTGCTCAGGCAGGAAATCCTATACCATTTCGGACAAATGGCCGTCCAATCTCTTCTTAAAAACTTCCAGTGTTGGAGCATTCACCGCTTCTGGAGGCAGGTTGTTCCACAGGTCGCCAAAAGAGGGTCCCGTGACACCAGGACACTGCAAACCGTCATCAATGTGAGCCACTTGCCAGGCATCTGAGTCTGGATCACATATTCGTGTGGAGATGCTGCAACGGTCGTTCAGTGTGAAAAACGGTCGTAAATCCCTTTTTTTCAGTGCTGTCATAACTTCAAGCGGTCGCTAAATGGACTCGGACACTTGACAACTGAGTCGTATTTATGGGGTTGCAGCGTTGTTGCAGAAGTTGTTGTTGTTGTTGTTGTTGTTGGAAGGGACCTTGGAGGTCATCTAGTTCAACCCCCCTATACCATTTCAGACAAATGGCCGTCCAGTCTCTTCTTAAAAACGTCCAGTGTTGGAGCATTCACCGCTTTTGGAGACAAGTTATTCCACTAAATAACAGAATAACAGAATTGGAAGGGACCTTGGAGGTCACCTAGTCCAACCCCCTGCTCAGGCAGGAAACCCTACACCATTTCAGACAAATGGCTGTCTAGTCTCTTCTAAAAAACACAAAAAAGGGAATCAAGGCCGGCTGTTCCCAGCTCTGAACATCTCCTGTGCCCCAATGCTTCCAGTTCGACTTCCTGGTTCCCCAATGAGTTTTCAACATGGTTGGCATCCGGGTCCCCTGTTACAGATAGTCCTCGACTTAGAACAGTCTGTTTAGCGACAGTTGGAAGTTACAACAGCACTGAAAAAAGTGAGTTAGGACCGTCTTTCACCCTTATGGCCGTGGCAGCATCTCCCATGGTCACGTGATCAAAGTTCAGAGGCTTAGCAAATGGTTCGTATTTATGACGGTCGCAGCGTCCCGGGGGGGTGGGTGGGAATCACATTATCCCCTTTTGTGACCTTCTGATAAACAAAGTTAATCAGGAAATCCAGACTCACTTCACAATGGTGGCAAGGAAGATCCTAAAATGGGGCAAAACTCAATAAATGTCTCAGTTAGCAACGGAAATTTTGGGCTGAATTGTGGTCGTAAGTCGAGGACTGCCTGTATGGTTTTCTCAATCTTGGCAGCTTTTTAGATGGGTGGACTTCAACTCCCAGAATTCCCCAGCCAGCTAAACCGGCAACCGCTTCCCTTTGGCGGCCAAACTGACCCATAACGAACCCTTGATTCGCTTAACGACAGCGAAGTTCGGCTAATGACCTCTGCTAAAAAATTCATCAAATCGATTTGGTCACCCAGGCCACTAAGTGAATTGATGGTTTGCTATGGCCAGTTTGGCCGCCAATTTTTTTTAGCTTTTGCCATTTTACAACCGTTGTGACTGATGGCCAGTGGGCAGGTGCCATTACAGTTTAAGTCAAAGAACAGCTGTAGAATTATTTAAATAGCTTTTCTGTTTGATTCTTCTCATTTTATTGGCTGAATGGAGTACTTTTTTAAAAAACTTTTTAATCACATGGTTAGCCAGTGACCTGGGCGGTATAGTAATTTAATAGACAGACAGACAGACAGAGAAATATTAGATACAGATAGATATTAGATAGACAGATGGACAGACAGACAGGCAGACAAGATAGATAGATAGATAGATAGATAGATAGATAGATAGATAGATAGATAGATAGATAGATAGATAGATAGATAGATAGATAGATAGATAGATAGATAGATAGATAGATAGATAGATAGATAGACAGATATTAGAGACACAGATATTAGAGATAGATAGATAGATAGATAGATAGATAGATAGATAGATAGATAGATAGATAGATAGATAGATAGATAGAGATAGAGATAGATAATTAGATAGACAGACAGACAGATATTAGAGACACAGATATTAGATATAGATAGATAGATAGATAGATAGATAGATAGATAGAGAGAGAGAGAGAGAGAGAGAGAGAGAGAGAGAGAGAGAGAGAGAGAGGAGAGAGAGAGAGATAGATAGAGATAAAGATAGATAGATAGACAGACAGACAGATATTAGAGACACAGATAGAGAGAGAGAGACAGACAGACAGACAGACAGACCGACAGATAGATAGACAGATATTAGAGACACAGATATTAGATATAGATAGATAAATAGATAGATAGAGATAGAGATAGATAATTAGATAGACAGACAGATATTAGAGACACAGATATTAGATATAGATAGATAGATAGATAGATAGATAGATAGATAGATAGATAGATAGATAGATAGATAGATAGATAGACAGACAGACAGACAGATATTAGAGACACAGATATTAGATAGAGATAGAGAGAGAGAGACAGACAGACAGACAGACAGATAATTAGATAGATAGATAGATAGATAGATAGATAGATAGATAGATAGATAGATAGAGATAGAGATAGATAATTAGATAGACAGACAGACAGATATTAGAGACATAGATATAGATAGATAGATAGATAGATAGATAGATAGATAGATAGATAGATAGATAGATAGATAGATAGAGATAGATAGACAGACAGACAGACAGACAGATATTAGAGACACAGATATTAGATAGAGATAGAGAGAGAGAGAGAGAGAGAGAGAGACAGACAGACAGACAGACAGATGATAGTTAATAATTTTTCTTTAAGTACAGGTAGTCCTCGGCTTACGACCACAATTGAGTCCAAAATTTCTGTTGCTAAGTGAAACATTTGTTTCCCATTTGTGAACTTTGCCCCATTTTACTTCCTTTCTTCCCGCAGTTGTTAAGTGAACCACTGCAGCCACACAGTTGTTAAGTGAATCTGGCTTCCCCCAATGACTTTGCTTCCCAGAAGGTCGCAAAAAGGGGATCGTGTGAGCCCGGGGGGACATTGTGCAACCATCATCAGTATGAGTCAGTTGCCAAGTGTTTGATTTTTGTCCACATGACCACAGAGATGCTGCAACGGTCGTAGGTGTGAAAAAGGGTCTTAAGTCACTTTTTGGGGGGGGGGGTGCCGTTGTAACTTTGAACTAAAGGAGCAGTTGTAAATCGAGGACTACCTGCATAGCAGAGACCTCAACTCAGGATTTCCCTTTGTCATCTATATGTAACAGTTTCTAGCGACCACGAAAGAACAGGTCGCCACCAGGTGATCAAGAGAAGAACTTCCTAACCAATCCTGAACATCAGCTGAGTTCTTTGCCAAGTTAACTGACTGCGATTCCCAGATTTCCTTGCCTCCTTTTGCGCTTTTATCTGCCTTCTCAGTTCCACGTTGTTCCGGTGCATCTGCTCCAAACCGTCCTGATACTGCAGCAGCGTCTTCTAGAACGACAAAAAAAAGAAAGATAACACAATTTAAGACGGGAACGGAACAGCGGTTCATGATTTCTGAGTGGCCATGTGAGGCGGCAAGATCCCATAAATAGAGGTGGTCCTCGACTTTTAACTGTTCATTTAGCCGTTTGGTTACAGCAGCACTGAAAAAAAAAAAGAGATTTAGTACCGGTCCTCACACTTACAACCGTCGTAGCGTTCCCCCATGATCACGTGATCCAACTGGCATGGACTTATGACGGTTGCACGGTGACCAGGTTTTGTGATCTTTTTCAGCCCGTGTGGGATAAGCCAATAGCTATTCTATTCTATTCTATTCTATTCTATTCTATTCTATTCTATTCTATTCTATTCTATTCCATTCAATTCCATTCCATATTTTCTATTCTATTCTATTCCATTCCATTCCATATTTTCTATTCTGTTCTATTCTATTCTATTCCATTCCATTCCATTCCATTCCATATTTTCTATTCTATTCTATTCCATTCCATTCCATATTTTCTATTCTATTCTATTCTATTCTATTCCATTCCATTCCATTCCATTCCATTCCATTCCATTCCATATTTTCTATTCTATTCTATTCCATTCTATTCCATATTTTCTATTCTATTCTATTCTATTCTATTCTATTCTATTCTATTCTATTCTATTCTATTCTATTTAATGAAGAGAAGGATGAGGGGTGACATGATAGCAGGATTCCAGTATCTCAGGGGCTGCCCCAAAGAAGAGGGAGTCAAGCTATTCTCCAAGGCGCCTGAAGGCAGGACAAGAAGCAACGGATGGAAACTCATCAAGGAGAGAAGCAACCTGGAACTAAGGAGAAACTTCCTGGCAGTTGGAACAATTAACCAGTGGAACCACCTGCCTCCAGAAGCGGTGAATGCTCCAGCACTGGAAGTTTTCAAGAAGAGACTAGACAGCCACTTGTCTGAAATGATATAGGTCTCCCGTTTGAGCAGGGGTTTGGACTAAATCAGGGCTTTTCAACCAGTGGTACAGGTACATTGGCACCTGGCAGGTGGTACGCGACCATCCTAGAAAAGTGAGCTCTGAAGAAGCACCGATCAACTGGAAAGCAGCACTGATCCTGGTGCTTCCGCTGAGCCCAGAAGAAGCGCCGATCAGCTGGAATGTTGCAGCATCTCCAGGGTCTTGTGATTTACATTCAGATGCTTGGCAACTGATTCATATTTATGACGGTCACAGTGTCCCAGGGTCATGTGAAGGGACCAAAACCTGCTGCAACCACCCAGAAGACGGGGGGGGGGGGAATAAAAACCAAACACCCCCCCACCCCACCCCCGCTGCCAATCCTCAACAGAAATGCTCACAATGAAAACCTCGGACAGGAGGAAGAGCGTGGCCGGGCGGGCAGGCAGGTGTCTTGCTCGGCTGTGGCTTGGGGGGCACTTTTTTCAGGGTCATTGTAACTTCAAACAGTCACTAAGCGAACTGTTGTAAGTTGAGGACTTCCTGTACTTCATCACTTTTTTCCTTTCCTTTTTTT